TTATGCCGAAGATATTCAACGTCATAAACGTCTAAGTTGAATGTTTATGCCGAAGATATTCAACGTCATAAACATCTAAGTGGAATGTTTATGCCGAGACATTCAACGTCATAAACATTGAAGTGTAATGTTTATGCCGAAGATATTCAACGTCATAAACATCTAATTGGAATGTTTATGCCGAAGATATTCAACGTCATAAACATCTAAGTGGAATGTTTATGCCGAAGATATTCAACGTCATGAACATCTAAGTGGAATGTTTAGGCCGAAGATATTCAACGTCATAAACATCTAAGTTTAATGTTTATGCCGAAGATATTCAACGTCATAAACATCTAAGTTGAAAGATTATGCCGAAGATATTCAACGTCATAAACATCTAAGTGGAATGTTTATGGAGAAGATATTCAACATCATAAACATCTAAGTTGAATGTTTATGCCGAAGATATTCCATGTCATAAACATCTAAGTTGAAAGTTTATCCCGAAGATATTCAACGTCATAAACATCTAAGTTGAATGTTTATGCCGAAGATATTCAACGTCATAAACATCTAAATTGAATGTTTAGGCCGAGGAGATTCAACGTCATAAACATCTAAGTGGAATGTTTATGCCGAAGATATTCAACGTCATAAACATCTAAGTCGAATCTTTATGCCGAAGATATTCAACGTCATTAACATCTAAGTTGAAAGTTTATACCGAAGATATGCAACGTCATAAACATCTCAGTTGAATGTTTATGCCGAATATATTCAACCTCATAAACATCTAAATTGCAAATGTTTATGCCGAAGATATTCAACGTCATAAACATCTAAGTTGAATGTTTATGCCGAAGATATTCAGCGTCATAAACATCTAAGTCAAATCTTTATGCCGAAGATATTCAATGTCATAAAGATCTAAGTGGAATGCTTATGCCGACGATATTCAACGTCATAAACATCTCAGTTGAATGTTTATGCCGAATATATTCAACCTCATAAACATCTAAATTGAATGTTTATGCCGAAGATATTCAACGTCATAAACATCTAAGTCGAATCTTTATGCCGAAGATATTCAATGTCATAAACATCTATGTGGAATGTTTATGCCGAAGATATTCAACGTCATAAACATCTAAGTCGAATGTTTATGCAGAAGATATTCAACGTCATAAATATCTAACTGGAATGTTTATGCCGAAGATATTCAACGTCATAAACATCTAAGTCGAATGTTTATGCAGAAGATATTCAACGTGATAAACATCTAAATTGAATGTTTATGCCGAAGATTTTCAACGTCATAAACATCTAAGTTGAATGTTTATGTCGAAGATATTCAACGTCATAAACATCTAAGTTGAATGTTTATGCCGAAGATATTCAACGTCATTTACATCTAAGTTGAATGTTTATGCCGATGATATTCAACGTCATAAACATCTAAGTTGAATGTTTAGGCCGATGATATTCAACGTCATAAACATCTAAGTTGAACGTTTATGCCGAAGATATTCAGCGTCATAAACATCTAAGTCAAATCTTTATGCCGAAGATATTCAATGTCATAAAGATCTAAGTGGAATGCTTATGCCGACGATATTCAACGTCATAAACATCTCAGTTGAATGTTTATGCCGAATATATTCAACCTCATAAACATCTAAATTGAATGTTTATGCCGAAGATATTCAACGTCATAAACATCTAAGTCGAATCTTTATGCCGAAGATATTCAATGTCATAAACATCTATGTGGAATGTTTATGCCGAAGATATTCAACGTCATAAACATCTAAGTCGAATGTTTATGCAGAAGATATTCAACGTCATAAATATCTAACTGGAATGTTTATGCCGAAGATATTCAACGTCATAAACATCTAAGTCGAATGTTTATGCAGAAGATATTCAACGTGATAAACATCTAAATTGAATGTTTATGCCGAAGATTTTCAACGTCATAAACATCTAAGTTGAATGTTTATGTCGAAGATATTCAACGTCATAAACATCTAAGTTGAATGTTTATGCCGAAGATATTCAACGTCATAAACATCTAAGTTGAATGTTTATGCCGAAGATATTCAACGTCATAAACATCTAAGTTGAATGTTTATGTCGAAGATATTCAACGTCATAAACATCTAAGTTGAATGTTTATGCCGAAGATATTCAACGTCATAAACATCTAAGTTGAATGTTTATGCCGAAGATATTCAACGTCATAAACATCTAAGTTGAATGTTATGCCGAAGATATTCAACGTCATAAACATCTAAGTTGAATGTTTATGCCGAAGATATTCAACGTCATAAACATCTAAGTTGAATGTTTATGCCGAAGATATTCAACGTCATAAACATCTAAGTTGAATGTTTATGGCGAAGATATTCAACGTCATAAACATCTAAGTTGAATGGTTATGCCGAAAACAGTCAACGGCATAACCATTCAAGTTGAATGGTTATGCTGAAGACAGTCAACAGCATAACCATACAAGTTGAATGGTTATGCCGAAGACACCCAACGGCATAACCATCCAACTTGAATGGTTATGCCGAAGACAGTCGAAGGCATAACCATCCAAGTTGAATGCATCATTTTGATCCAGTCCAAGGATTGAGTTAATTTTGATCCAGTCCTAGGACTGCATCAAGCAATATGGTTAATGAGTTTGAGATATGTATTAATGCAGGAACAAATTAATATGAGCACAGTTTGGAAACTAACCCACGGTTATAAAACCCCGCATTTCCGAACAAATGAAAAAGCAGATTGATCTCAGATTATTATATAATTTGAAGTATACAGTATTGATCCTACCTTCTTATCACCGGCGTACCACGTGATCGTTTCTTGCACAAAACGATACTTATGATAACAATGGCTATCAACGTAATGGCGGCGATGACAGCTATAACTATCCATAATGTTTTCTCGTCAGAGGTTAAGCTGTGTCCACCCTTGTCTAAAAATAATCAAGATCTTAGGTTGTGTTCGCACTGCTTGTTCCCAGTTGTTGTATCAAGTTTGGAACAAGCTGTTCACAACTTGTAACAAGCTTGATGGCATTATCAGACTTGTTATACAAGGTTGTTGTAACAAGTCTGATACAGTCATGTTTAAACAAGTATGTCACAAGGTTGGCCACACAAGGTTGTAACAATATTGTTACATCGTGACTGTATCGGACTTGTTGGAACAAGCCTGATAATACCATGGATTGTAAAATAACTGGATATAGGAAACTTCCTGACGTCACAGTCTAAACCTTGCAATCTGTGACGTCACGCGCATTATCAAAGTTCGCAGCATTTTTGTCGTTTCGCTATATTTTCCGCTTTAAAAGAGTAATATTGAAGCATAAACTGGTCTAATTGTTTTAAAAACATGCCTAAGCCAGGACAAAGTATTCAAGGTAAATGTTTTTCGTCTTTGTTTTGTATTTTTTTTTACATTTGTAGCTACGAAATTGGCGTTGCCAATTTTTAGGAAATTTGGGATGCATTTTTCACTGTTTAGTGCTTGAAATATTTGCTAAAATTGACCGGGAATACTTAGAGATTTCATCGTAGAATGGCCTAGTTATATTTATTTGCTCTTTGACTAAAATGTTTAGATGTATTATCGCTAAACATGCCGTTTTTGAGAATTTGGTTTGCAACTAGGTTTCAACGCCATCATCCCATTGAAAACATTAGGTCACGTCAGCTAGTTTCCTAGGCATGTATTTCATTATCCATGATAATACCAACAAGGTTGCAAGTCTGTTTGAGACTTGCAATAAGGGACCGGTCATAAAGTAACTGCTAGGGTGGGCTGGAGTGATTTGGGATGGGCCATGGAAAATCTTTGGGCAGTTTCGATGGGCCGCCAATGTTTTTGTATGTCCACGGTTGGGCCACCAAACAAAAACCCATGCATGTCTACTTCAAAAAATAAAGTTATTAATAATAAAAGTAAACAAAAATATCCAAATTATCAAATGCAAATGATGCTATTGAAGCCAGTACTTTGTTTATACAACAAGAAGTAGTCGAATCACAGCAAATACAACCAACTGGAGAGCAGCTCAGTCGTATCGTAATTGGTGAGGAATGTGTTGGTCAAGCTTGGTGGAATTATGTATGTCAATACAGTGCCGGTGTATATTTAGAATGTTCATATACCTGCAAGTTTTTTTTGTGTTATAAAAGTGTATTTTCCCAATTTAGATTGGGTGGGTCATGAAATTTTTTTTGTAAGATTAGATGGGCTTTGAAATTTTTATCTACATCCTAAGATGGGTCACCGAACTTATTGGCAAAATTTGTGATTTGCCTCCAGCCCACCCTAGCAGTTACTTTATGACCAGTCCCTAAGCTCGATGACACAACGGACTTGCGTATCCAAAGTTTGTATAACACAATACCTGCGACTTTCTCCTTAACTTGAGTAGGAGTGCCTACACAAAAATTGGACGAACAAACAATCAGTGGACGAGAATACTTTGAATTCATACATGCATTGTTTATGGTTTTCATCTGAAGAGAGAGAGAGAGAGAGAGAGAGAGAGAGAGAGAGAGAGGGAGGGAGGGAGGGAGAGAGAGAGAGAGAGAGAGAGAGAGAGAGAGAGAGAGAGAGAGAGAGAGAGAGAGAGAGAGAGAGAGAGAGAGAGAGAGAGAGAGAGAGAGAGAGAGAGAGAGAGAGAGAGAACGATGCAAGTTTCACAGAGAGAGAGAGAGAACGATGCAGTCTACAGTTCCTGCCTTTCGCTTCCGCGATGCCATGCGCGCTGGAGAAAGAAAGAAGTGAGGACCAACACAAATCTGCCCCTCTAGGTTTTACATATTTACATCCAGCCTAGTCCCAGTCGTTCTGAAGCAAGCGCGAGAAAAAACGTGGATGTAGTACGAGACTGGGACCTAAGTGTGACGTCACCGCTAAAGGTGCTTCAGAACGCCTAGCAGATTTCAGTATTTTTAATATGGCGGAAAATTTATATACAAGTAACCTTGTAAATACGACATGTTCGTTGATCATGTTCGATGTCTACATAACCAAATTCAAACGGTACTAAAAATGTGCTCAATAAAAAAAATTATATACAAATTTACGATACCGAGTCTGAGCAATGGTCGTATAATCGTTGATCTTATTTATATATACTCGCAAGTTGTGATCAACACTAGACCATACTGGTATACACATGCAACTACGCTTTCTACTTGACAGGTTTAAGTAGCTGAGGAGATTGGAAATGTTTGCCTGACATGACAGTGTTGTCAAAACATTTTTAGTCGGAGACACGGCATAATTTTCAAGCTTCTAGATAGCATTTACTATGTCTTTATATTTTAGTAAACACGAGTCATTTCATTGTTCCGACAGCATTAGAGCAAAACTAATGACTTAATTATAAACGCAAAGGAACTTTCCATAACATTTTCTATTTACAAATGAGGTATGCTTCGTAACCAGGCCCGGGACCACTTTTTTGAAATCAGGGACCATTTTACCGAAATCTGCTAGGCCTCTCGCCGAAGCGTTCCGCACAGCACACCCAGGCATAAAACTTTTAAGACTTATTTAAATATATCAAAGCAGCGAATAGAGAGAGAGCCTGGGACTAGGCTGATTTACATCAATATTTTTGTATAACTTTATACCTTAAACATTATTAGTTCCCCCCTCATTATTGTCCAATGTGATAATCATGTGGTACTGGTGCTACCACTTCAAAAACAATATCAGTATTCTGCCAGCTTAAATAAAGACATTATTATTACATGGCAAATTTAAATTAAGTTTGTCTTATTCGAAAGAACATTTAAAATGATATATAAACTTCCTTTATAATTATTCCGTGTCTTGCTTGGTTTTCGAAATAAATCGACTTATTTTGATCAAAAGTAGGGTGCGTTCCGCCATCTTGGATATGCATTCGATATGCATACGTCACTAGTAGGGTAAAAAGCGAAATTTTTATTTTGCAAACCACATGTCATTATCAATATGAAACTCGATTTTCCGTCTTTTTAGTGCTCAATTAACTCACAACATTTTAAGAAACTTTTCGAAGAAATTTAATCCCACATGAAGAAGTTTTAACAAGTTTACCCTGCTTGTGACGTCATCAAAAAGTCAGTTAATTAGGTCAAATATAATACCAAGATGGCAGACTGCACACTGTTTTTGGTCAAAATATTTCGACAACCAAGCAAGGTACGAAAACGTTGTAAAGGATCTTCATATATAACTTTAAAAGTTCTTTCAAATAAGACAAAGTTAATTTTTATAGCCATACCTTTAATAATTCAACCTGTCTAGTCAAGTATGTTCCTTATTGACTTCAAATACGGTATATAAATGCCGCATTATTATATGTTACATTACATGTTTATAATCTTGTTTAAACGTATTCGTCTCACCTTCAATATATCCTTCGGTAGAATCCGCTGTTGGCCCACGATCAGGTTTATTGATCGCTGTGCCATTATTCAATAGGGGATCTGCATAATAATAATAACAATGTGGAATTCCGGTTTCTTTCAATAAACGCAGTTTCTTAATTTTCGCTATTGATTTATTGAGATCAAGCTCAGCTCTTTTGTCTCTTCAATGGACCACTTGCATTACGGACTAAATTTTGATCTCACAGCTTGAAAGAGCATCACAAAATTAGTAACATTCCACAGTTTCGTTGCGAAATGTTGTAAAATACGGATAATATAGCCTTGCGAAGTTTGCCGTTTTTCAGTAATTTTGCATTACGCGGGGGAAATTGACAGCCTATATAATACCCTTTGGGGCTGTCAATTTCCCGTTTGTAATAGAAAATGACTGAAAAACGGCAAACTTCGCAAGGCTATATTATCCGCATTTCACAACATTTCGCAACGAAACTTTGGAATATTACTAATTTTGTGATGCTCTTTCAAGCTGTGATGAAATTTTTATCTAGACTTGTTGAGATCAAAATTTAATCAAAAATGCAAATGTCCATTTTGTTGATCATTTTAATCTTTTGCATATTTTCCATAAAATTCTTACCAACTCATAATACTATACTAACCTGTTGTTGAGGCAATGCTAGGTATACTTATGACGGAAGCTAAAAAAAGTAAAATACATTATTATTGCGTCTCTTTATCGTGTAAATAACGCATGAATGAATTTAATTGGGTGGGTGTCCCCCCTCCCTCCTCTGGACCAAGGGGGTGTAGAGACTAGAGAGTCAACGGGGTAATACGACTAATAAAATAAAGTATATACATTTGATTTTAATCTAAATTGATAAGTTATTGGCAACAGCATTAAATTGTTTTACATAAAGCATTCGCTATATCAATCTATATAAAAGAGTTATTGATACATCTGCAGCTGTCCATAGCTGGACCGAAAAAATAATTTTACTTTAGACTTGAAAATACCCTCAGAAGTGATTTCATCTGGTATGCAGGGAATTAAAGAATTTTGAACCTTAAAATCATACTGAAAATCGCCTTAATCTTGTCCTGCAAAATGAAACACTAAGACCTTTAGCCCTCCTAATTCTCTTATTTGATTATTCGATGTAAACATATTATATCTTTAATAATAAGTAATATGGTATGATATCGTTCTTCCAATAAAAAATAAATTGACCAATCTGTATAGTTTACGAATGCCATGCAATTTTATAAATTGGAGTCCTTAAACAAAGGATCTGTATGATAATTATATGTGGAGTGAATTAATCGCAACGTGAAACGATATGAGACCATCTCTTGAAATGATCTAGTTTTAGATCTCGAATCCTCCTCAGCTCACTTTCATATATAGTTTTCCACACATGGCCAGGCATGCACGGCTCTGAATCGCTAGATTGGGTGGCCCATAAGCAAATTACCTCCTGGAAATATTTCAGATTTTGAAAATTTTCCTTCGCCAGCACGATTCTTTGCCAGTATTTTCACGGCGTATGACAAACTTTTATTGATGTTGGATATTTTGTCATTCAATACATGACCCCGTACCACCTTACACGTCCAATTGTATTGACGATGTTTATCCTGAGGTCTCCAGCATATCTTATAGTTGGTAAGTTTACCATTCGGTTCATCTGGGGCATTCCAATGTACCTTGACAGTTGCTTCAACTTCTGAAAACGATACCGTCACATCTTTCGGTGCGCTGGGAGCTAAAACACATACGATTAAAGGCGTTAATAAATCACGCAAATCCTTTGTGGCCAAATTGGGTGACGGAAAGTGCGGTTTCTTGGGGGTAAGGGGCCCCCAGAAAAGCTAGAGAAACAACATCAGGGTGAGAGTAAGGGGCCCTCACCGTTATGGACATTGAATCTCATGTCCGAGCCGGGCTTCCCCGTGGTGAAGTGATCGAGAGATGCGAAGATCAGGACGAGGGTAAGGGGCCCCCGCCGTTATGGCCCCCGACGAAGTGTGGCCGTGTGGACACCAC